CCTGGTTGGGTGAGGCAGTAGTTAAATTTGGGTGGTGGGATAATGTGGGAAATGGGAATGCATGACTACTTTCTCAGAAACCGAAGGAAAAAGTAAAAGGTGAGGGGGCTGAAATTTGAAAAGGTGGGGAAAGTGGTGAGGGGGTGGTGGCCCAACTCACTATCCACCAATTGGGTGTAGTCAAATAAAGTAAGGACATTGTCGACCTTAATTGGTGTTATATTTTTCTTTGTATACACTGTGTAAATGGGTTAAGTAGGTCAATTTAAATAAAATTATTAGTCCGTTCGTGTTGATAACGTGTCATTATTGGGTTAGTGTCAACACGAATAAATAAACGGGTCAGTTGTATCAATTTTGGGTTTTGCGGGATGAACCAGAACACGACCTGTTTGTATTTTGTGATTGCGTGTTAAGTCATTTTCGAGTTCCTGTGGAGTTATAATCGATTTCAAGTCATGTTATCGTGTTAAATCGAAAATTGCCATCTCTAGTTTCAGAGAGTAAATCTAACACATACTTCTGCTAATACAAACAAATATCTTTTTTCGATTGAGCTACTTCAATAACAAGAAAGTATCGAAGGAGACCTAAGTCTTTGGTGTAGAACTACCTTTTGAAATAAGTTTTGAAATGGGCATTGCTAGTTGAGTCACTACTGATGATAATATCATCGACATAGACAATGAGAACACATAAACATTGGGTTTGCGTGTAAACACAATATGATCTGAATTAGAGTGCTGAAAGCCATACTGAAGTACAACGTCACTAAATTTATCAAACCAATATAGTGTTTTCTTCAACTGACAAACTAACTGTTTATTTCTAGAGACAGCATATCCCAGTGGTTAAACCATATACACTTTCTCCTGTACATCTTCATGTGAAAAAGCATTTTTTTACATCTTGCTGATACAAATGTCAATCTAAACTCATTGCAATGGAAAACAAAATCTAGTAGAGTTAAGACGAGCAATAGGGGAAAATGTCTCACAATAATTCACGCCATATATTTAAGTGTAGCCCTTGGCAACCAACTGCGCCTTTAAGTGTTCAATAGAACTGTAAGAAAGATACTTCACAACATACGCCTTCCGACAACTATCAAGCTCCTTACCAGGAGGTAATAAAGAGAGGTACCATATCTAATTCTCATGAAGAGTTTTCATTTCTTCATTTATTGCCAATTTCCATCTAGGAGAAGATAAGGTCTATTTGAAATAGCTAGGAATAGATACAAAAGACGGTGCTGATGCAAAAGAACGAAAAGATGATGAAATGAGACAAAATTAGAAATAGGATGTTGTATGTAACTACGAGTATCTTTTTGTAATGCAATGGACAGATCAGAAGACGATGGAGTAACAGTTGACTCAAGGGGTTGGACCTTAGTAGAAGTTGGTGTTAGTTGTGAAGCTAGAGCATAAGGCACAACCTATCTATCCTTGGAGCAACTGTAAACCTATAGTGGAAGAGCAGACACTTGTGGAAGAGAAGACACAAGGACTAGAATAGGCAACAAAAGCTCCCCTTGAACAAGAGACACCAAATCTACAATAAGGTTATGACCTAACACAAAAAAGAAGGGTGATTACTTAAAGAAGGTAACATCGATGTTGACATGGTAGTGACGAGAGACGGAATTACAGCATTGATAATTTTCTAAGTATGAGAATATCTCAAAAAAATACACTTGCCTCGGTGAAGTGACAAATTTATAATGATGAGAACCAAATAGATGAACAAAGACATTAAACATCAAGGTGTGGGCAGCATCTAACAAATAATGATGTTTAAGTTCGGCTACACCATTTTGTTGGGAGGTATATAGGCAGGTAGTTTGATGGGTAATGCCACGGTTGACACAAAAGTTTTTTATAAACGATTGAGTATATTCAAGGGTATTGTCCGATTGTAGAGCTTTAATACGTATATCAAATTGAATCGGAATTTTAATATAAAAAGTGGCAAAGACCTTAGGCAATTCAGATCGATCTTTCATAAGGAATAACCAAGTCATACGAGAGAAGTCAAAGATTACAAAATACTGAAATCAGAAATATTTTTGAGCGTTGCAGGACCCCAAATGTCTAAGTGGACAACATTAAAAGAACTAGATTGATGGCTTGAAGAACTTGGAGGAAAAGAACTATGGTGATGCTTGCCTAATTGACAAGCCTCACATTCTAACATAGAAGAAAAACTCAAACAATGGATAATTTAACGCAATTTCTACACGTAAGGATGACCCAGTCGAAACTGGCACCGAACAAGAGACATGGCAACACTTAATGCAAGAATAGTACCGCTGGAATCCAAGTAGTAAAGGGTATTACTGTCATGCCCCAAACCAATTACCTTTTTTACCTTGAGGTCCGAAAAAACATAAGAATATGGAAAAAAAAGTTACTGAACGCTGTAAGGACTTGGTTAACTGACTCACAAATAACAAGTTAAAGGAAAAGTTAGGAAGAAATAAATTAGATGTTAATGACATAGATTGAGTATGACAGAGATCGTCAGTGTTATGTATATTTGAAAAGATCAATTGGTTAACACAAGATGAAAAAGGTTGGGTAGCAACAACCAGAGTTACCTCCATTAGCAAAACCGTGGGTAGAAGTAGACAAATATGGAAAAAGTGTAGATAACTAGTGGATGAGCTGACTAAGCTGATAAGAATGATTATCATGAGAGCGAGAAGTGGATGCAATTGGACCATCTATAGAAGTTTGATGCACTTGAGAACCTAAAGTACCATCAGAAGCCTGATTAGCATATGTTGGTCTCCCATATTTATTCCAACAATAATGCTTTGTATGTCCCGTGCCACAACAATAACTAATCATTCGAACGATTACCGTGGCTAGAACGACAACCACAACCAGTACCTCGACCACCAGCAGTAGCATTATGGAGTGGACCACGTCCACCACCACCGCACAACCACCACCGAAAACATCAAGTTTACCCCTACTCATAACAACGTGAGTGGCCATGAAAAAAAAACTAATAGTAGCAATATGCAACTCTACACAAGAGGAAACCACCAATGGAGTGGTGATTAAATACTCCACAATAGCTAACAACAAAACCCAACAATCCAGTAGATCCACTATTCCACAAATACACCAATCTCACCCACACACATTACAGAAGTAGGAATCCTATCTACTCATACATCCACAAACAGCACAAAACAAGAATCAAACCTCAATTGACCCAAAATAGGGGCTGAAGAACTCAGCTGAGAAATCCTACTTTGTAGCCGAACCCTTGAACAACCAAGAAGCCCTCACAAATCAACCCAAACAAACATGGGTTATCCAAAACAACACCCAAGAGATGTAGTCGGAGATTTACCTCTCAAGTAGAGAAACATAGACTTCTTAGTACATCCAAATCATTAGCTTGCCAAGAAACAAGGAATAATAAAGCCGGTTGCCTAAAAGTAAATAAAAAAAAAAAGCCCCAAAAACTGACTGTTGAGCCTCATAAACTTGAAGAATCTGCTCAAACCATTGTAAAAACTACTGGGCATTACTTCTTAGCCTTAGACACATACCATATAGTAGAATCGTATCAAAACAAAGGGGTACTGTGCTCAAAACAAGCAAATCTCAGCCTCTAGCAACCCCAAACACGAAAATCATGAAAAAAATCGGAAAGTCAATGCAAACGGTTGCAAATAATTATGGCAAAATAACCACAATGCTTAGAAAATCATGGCAAATCAAGCCATGTTGCTCCCGATCAAATCTAACAAAGTTTATGCCAACATCATCATGTCAGATTCTGACAATGGCCTGCCTGGAATTCTCCCACTGGCTCCAACAAGTTTTTAATGTATTAGGCTGAGATCAATGCTTTGATACGCAATTAAAACTTGAATAATTGAACATTAGGGTTTAGGCAAAGAAAGAGAAGGAGAAGAAGAGAGAGAGAGATTATGGAACAATATTGTGAGTAGGATATGTGTTGCCAACACCTATTTATATTAGATTGATATTAAAGAGCATTACAATATTAGGAAAGCAGAAGATAGTGGGAAAGTAAATAGAAAGGAAATCTCTAACAGTAGGAAAGCAACATCGTTAGAAAGTAAAACTCCGACATATTGCTCTATAATTCCTTATACTTTCTACATTATTATATATTTATACAGTAGAAATTCTTGCTGATTCACAATGGGTGGTGGTGTTTTCTGTGTTATCAACGTACACGAACTTAGACTGTATTTGCTCCATGTCTGTGATGTATATGTATCATAAGTGGAAGGGTACCTAATGTCACAAGTCAACAAACATACCCATAGTCATGACTCTAGAAAGCTAAACTACCAAGTATAAAGGTTTGAATGAAAAAGAGTAGTGTGCGTATCTACACATCCTTTAAGAAAATGCCATTGAATTTCCTTACTATTCAGAATCTGGGAATTTTTCTTTAAAATCAGGCAAGTTTTAGCTTTTGTGCTTCAGCAAATAACAGAGTTCAATTTTTGAACTCTCTTCTTGTTTTGTATGCTCAATATTATCTGTATTATCAACCTAGAGACATTATTATGGCCTTTCTGCCAACACATCAAGGTATTAGTTTAATACATTGCAAATGTTGTTTTTTTTTTTAAATTTTGTCTTGTTTTGCACCAATTAACTCTTCTTTTGGCTATGACATTTAATGTTGCAGTCTTGGTGAAAGATCATCAAATTTAATGAGCTATTTAAAACATGGTAGAAGCATTCACATATGTTGAATTAAAGGATCAATACCACAACTTAAAATTTAATGATACTTTTAGGATAACTTGTGAAATTGCACAAGTTGTTTTGGATGCTTATGTATCATTTTATCCCTACTTGTTTATTAATGTAGAATACTTGCAGAGCACTTCCTTATGCCATGATGTACTTTCTTTTTTATTTAAATACCTAAATCATGTGGTCCTGGCTTTTCATTGAGTGTGCTTCTCAAGTGATCAGGTAGCCCGTTCAAGTTCTATGCCTCCCAATGCAAGGGATATGTTATACCAGAGCCTGCCTCCTAGTATAAAATATTCTTTGAGATCCAAACTGGAATCTTTTCATGTCAAGGAAGAGGTACTCTCTTAGTTATGGTTCTTCCTGATGTTGTTCGAGTACATGCATGCTATTTTTTTGTTTTTCGTAAATCCCCAACTTGATTTTCCATAACCATCAAGCATTTGTTTGAGTGGCATCTCCTTTGTCTCCAATCAGGTAGTTAGAGATTTGAGCTCCTGTTGGACAATTTGTGTTTGGGCTCATCCAGTTAAAAAAATTATTGTCACATATCCAATAAATTGGATGAAAGGAAATGGCAAGTTTGTAATTTAATGCAAATGAGTTTCTTTCAATTTTTCTTTCCAAGCTTCAAATGTTTTTCATTGTATTATTCAGTCAAAAGTTTCTTGTTGTAAAATGTGCTTGTTATGTTTGCTATAATTCTTGTAAGTTGTTATGTGCAGCTCACTGTAACAGAAATCAAAGCTGAGATGGAGAAAACTTTGCAATGGCTTGTTCCTATTGCCACAAACACAGCAAAGTATGATCTCCAACCTCCTTACAAATAGCTAAACCTTTAATTCTAGTTTATTTGATTATTCCTTTGCTGCATTAACCTTCTTATGTACAGTTCACTCATCTATTTTGATAATGTGTTTTTTTGTTTTTTGCTGCCAATATTTTTTAAGAGCTCATCATGGATTTGGTTGGGTTGGAGAGTGGGCAAATACAGGGTGAGTAACAAATATCATCTAATGTTACTGAAATATTTTCGAATTCCCCCTTGTATGATAAAATCAACATGAATCAGTAAGATAAGTTCGTAATTTAAGGGAAATATGGTTCTTAATTCTCATGTGTAAAGGTCTGAAGCAAATCGGAAGCCAGCTGGGCCTATTGAGGCGATTCTGATTGAGACACTCCACCATGCAGACAGGGAGAAGACAGAATCCTTAATTCTTGAACTAGTCTTGTGGCTTAACTATTTGATAGGCCAATCAAAGGCTGGTGCAAAAGATGGTGGCAAGAGAACTCCAATTAATTCACCCCTCCAGGAAGCAAATCAGCAGCCCTTGCAAGAAGCGGCTAATGCTTTGTCACCAATTTTAAGCATTGAAGACCAGGAGATGTTGCAGGATGTTAGCAACAGAAAACAGAGAGGAATCAGTAAGAGTCAGGACTTCGACTCTCCAAAAAACACGTTAAGAAAGCATGACAGACTAAGCAAAAGTAGCAGTCACTCTCCTACAAGGGGAAGCGATGAAGTGATCTCTATGAAGAGGCATTCCTCAAGCATTCTTGCTCTTAATTTTGGTCGCGACAAAGAGAAAGCATTGGGTGTCATTGATAGGGACGACACCCAGATGTAAGTTACGTTGTTATATGTATGTATATAGACACAATACACATCATCAAGAGTGAGGGCAAATCTGAAAATTCGTTATTAATGAGGCGGAGCCTACCTGTGTACGTGTGTTGATAGTTGTGCTGTATGTAGAATGGAATGGTACCCATTTCTGTTGTTTTTGTCTAGCCAGAGATTTTATTGTTTGCTTATAAGATCTGCAAGGAATTCCGATTGTTTTTTTGTTGCGGAAAAGAGGGAAAATGATCAACAGCAAGGATGCTTTGTGTACAGACTACCAAAGTATTTCATGGTAATTTATGGGTTGGAGTCGAAGATTATGTATCAAGCCAGAACCAGTATCACAATTAAGGAAATAATTATTTACTTATTTATACCTCCGTCAGTCAAAAGTTTAAATTACCTTTTGGTTACACTTTTTGAAAGTCTTTTGTTGGTTTTTAACTTACTTTGAGAACTTTTTGAAAGTAGGATTTGTTTTTGCATTTTTGTTTTTTCCTCTTTGGGGTTTACTCTATTCTTCTAATCAAAAGCATATTTATGGTAAATATAAAATACACTTATATCAACTGTATAATTAATGTAGTAAAATGCTTGTAGATCACTTTTCTAACAGTTATTACACGTTTTTATTTATTTTTATTTATTTTTTGATGAAATAGTACCAAACGGTGCCTCAATTTTTTTAGACTCCTCATTCTATGGATTTATTCTCACACCACCGTTATGCCATGTTGCTTGGTGATAGCAAGTCTCGGAAGGTGACTAAAATTATTTAGATTCCTATATTTCTTGGGGTGGGATTGTATTCGATCCAAAAATATTTATTTTCACTTTATTAAAAAATCTAAAATGAAACTACTATTTTAAGTATATTTTATGTCTACCACATCAGAAATGCTATTGAGACTTAATTTATTGACATAATTTGTTGATTTAATTCACAGTGACTTTTGGATTGATTGTAAGCTCTATCAAGTATTAGAACTTGACATGAATTTAATGATTCTTATGAAATCACATCATTATGTCAGCAAATTAAGTCAGATTTTTAGGTCCAAATAAAATATTATGTCAAATTTTTAAGTTTAAATACCATTACACCTACCACATTATTGATTAGGTCCATCCCGTTCTATGCCCACTTCATTAATAGGTAAATTTACCTCAATATGCACCCATCGCATTAGCATGTTAGATATATTATTCCCACCTCTTTCTACTCCTCAACTGCAAACCTTATATCTTCCCAAGCTCTAGTTGTGTGTATTGCAGAAACACAGAGGAAAGTCACTGCCGTCTTTTCTTTGATTGCTTAGTGACTGGTAGAATTTGGAACAAAGTTCTTCAACTCACTCAAGCATCTTGGTTTTCTCTCTCATGGCCAAATGCGATAATACAGCTTCTGATTATTGGAGAGGAATATCTCTTAGGATCATTGTGCTTAAATTAAGCCTTGCAACCACAATTTACACTCTTTGGAGAGAAAGAACTGCTAGAATCTTCAGGAACGAATACAAGGATGTAACAACCATCTTTAAATCCATTATTCAACTTATCAAGTGCAAACTTATCACTACTAACTACCAACATACTCCAATGAACTTAGCCTTCCTTCAGATGTGGAGTTCCTCGGCCTCTAATGCTCTTGCTAGATTATGAGCTCCTTTTGCTTCTTTTGTTTTCATAAACGGAAGTGAGGAAGAATGCCACAAGCATTTATTTTTTGAATGCCCTGTTACATCTGGGATATGGAGAGCAGTGCTGCAAAGGAATGGAGAGCCTTGACGGCCTAAACCTTGGCAATCTCTCATTCTTAGTGCTTCTAAAGAATGGAAAGAGATGACTTTAAAGATGGAAACTTTGAAGCTCCGCCTTGCAGCTACTGTTTATACCCTTTCCTCTCTAGCTGAGTTGTTGATGGATGGGAGTTACCTTTCTTGTACATTGTATGAGTTCAACCTGTAGTAGCACTGGCCAAGCAACCAGTGCTCTTTCTAGATTGACTCTTCTGTTTTTTTTTTGAGCACCACGCTTGATGCTGTTTTTTTGTAACAGCCTTGGGCTTGTAAATTTGCATAGCATATCAATACAATGTTTACTTACCCAAAAAATATAACTAGCTGTATGAAATACATAGCCAACATTTCGTCTTTTGTGACTTATCCAAAGTAGAAATGTTGTGCTTCTGTAATTTTATTTGATAATATATGGCTCTATTCTGCCAATAGTTTCAATTGAGTCATTAACTAGTGATCGTAGATCAGGAATACAGATCAAGATTCATTCTAGCACTAACTTCTATAAACCTGAGACCATGGAAATATCAGTCTTCATTCTTCTTGAATAGCAGGAAATTTTGACTGTTTGTGACAACACTGTGTTCCTTGGCCTAGTCTTTTATAATGTTAGTCTAACCTTAGGAGAGGCATTCTTCACAATATTCGAATTATTTGGCTGATGTCATCCTGTTAATACTAATGTCCGTTGGTCGAAGAAGCGGTGTTACAAGTATTATCATTGCATTCTTAGTTGTATTTTTAATATATGAAGGGGTGTCCGTATAATTATGTCAAAGACTAGTTGTTCATACAAATGAGCTAAAGAAATGTAGTTAAGAATGTTTCATCATTTTCAGCATATAGCTTTCTCCAACACCTTTTGTTCCTGAATTTTCTGGGCAGTTCCTTTTGAGTCCATAAGGGTGAGGATGAGAATTTCTTTCCACTTGCTATCTTGCTTTTTTCTTAACTGCTCACTTAACCAGCTCAACCAGCTCAAGATTCTGATTTCTCATTGATCTCTCTTACATAAACACAGTTAACTACACATCTTAGCCAACCATCTCTCTTGCTTCACCTCTCTTTTCTCGGGACGTATAGACCAATTAAAAATAACTTTCAATAAGACTAAAAATTATTGTATTACTTGAGTAATATTTTGGATGCACATAACGTGTGCGTTTTTTATGTTTGATACAGTTTCTGTTGACGTTATTGGTTATACAATCTAGTACATAAACCTCCTATCTAGAGTGTGTAAAAAATAGAAAATTTGACATTGAATTTGACTCCGTTGGAGTTTAACTGAGTCGAAGTCAGAGTCAGAGTTGGAGTCTGAAATTATTTTCAAAAAAACTCTGATTCCAAGACTCCAATTTTAATTAATAAATAATTTTATATAAATTATAAATCATATAATATATTATTATATGAAAATTTAAAATCTCTATCTAAAATTTGGCCTAAATCCCTATTATGCAATTCAAAAACTAGCCCAAATGTTAAAAAAATGATCAAAATATCATTCAAATTGGCCCAAATCCAACAAAAAGTTAGAAAAAAAGGGGGGGGGGGGGGGATTTTTTTAGGTCAGCTCACAGTAATGATCTTTTAGGTCAATTAGTCAATGTGTATACTTTTTGCGTCATTAAGGACAAGTCTGTGAGAAAAGACAATAAGAACCTTAAAATAAAGTCAGAACCTAAAAATCTTCATCCATATCCTAAACAATATCACGCAAATCTCTCTCTAATTGATCCTAAAAAATTTCACCCAGATTCTAAAAAATCTCACATAAATCGCTCTCCCCTTCACGTACGTCGTGTGACTGTTATTGTGATCACCTGTGTGTGTGTGTACATATGTGTGTGTGTGAGAGAGATAATAGGACGAAAGAGGGATGAGAGAGAAGAGAAATATATTCAATTTGACAGTTGGATAATTATAACAACAAAATGTCTTTTAATTTATGGTCAGAATAGGAAATAAAAAGAAGAAAAAGAGTCCTATGGATCTACTTACCAAATAGAGTATATCTAATATTCTTACTGACCCAATAAGATCGCATCTAGACCTATTAGCAGAAGAGATTGTCATATTATACTTGATTTCAATTTTCATGAAAAAAATATATATAAAAAATCAATAAAAATTGGACCAAATCCGGCCCAACTCGCAAAACTCAATCCGACCTAACTCTAAAACTCTACTCCACCTCTAACGAGATAGAGTCGAAAGCAAACCCATAATAATTTGAAATTAGAGTCAGAGTCAAAGTCAAAGGGCAAAATCCCCTTCGACTCCAATCAGAGTCGGAGTAAGTGTCTATGCTCTCCAGCTTTGTCGAAATCGGAACCCACGCCTACTTCTGTCAATATCAAGATTTTAAAGTAAATACTATAAGTTTTGAAAAAGTAAATTCTCGAGCTCAAATCCACAAACCTTCTTTTTTTTTGTACTTTTTTTGTCATAAACAATACAAACACATGATGAAGGGTAACTTCGATGGCACTCATACACAATGAGCATGGTAAAAAATATGTATCACATTTTGAGAAATTCAGAACAAAAATGATAGCATCTATAGATTCATGTTCATTAATGACCAAAATGCACCTAGCAAATATTATCAAAATTTCCACCATACAAAACAGAGCCACTGCATGACTGCATCATACTACCATAGAAATTCGTTACAACTTTCAGGTGACAGAACAATGAACTATTATATATCCTTACTTCACACTATTGTGCCCTCATTAACAAAATCTTATCAAAACATATGCCAACAATTATTTGTGGTACTTCAATCTTCCGGCCACCACAAACTGCAAATTCAGTAGCCTTTGTCGATAACCACAGGACTATCCAAAAAACGCGACTTGCAGGTCATCTGACTGCCAAATTTGTGGAAGAGCAGCACCAAGTGACATGAGCATGTAGCTTCAAACTTGACATTAAAAAAGCCTTCTCTCCTGACCACTCAGTGCACCTTAGCCCCAGTTATTTATCCTTTTCAACACTCCCAATAATTATCTCTATGTTACAACATCTATAATGCTAGCTCCTGATGGAAGCTGCAGAAGTTTAACTATTAATCTCCATCATCTATTTCCAAGTAACTTCAGCCTCCTGTGTACTCTATCTCATCCATAACTTCAAAACTCAATCCTTACCACCAGATGCTACGTTCTCACCATCTGGACTCCAGTCAACAGCAAAA